GGGCCAGAGCCGCCCGTCCGACCCTCCAGAACCACTGGGCCGGGCGTCAGCCCCGCCGACGCCGCGCCGCGGGCCTCACCTCCCTGCGCACGTTCAGCAGCGAGTAGTAGTCTTCATTGTCCAGCTCCTCCTCGCTCAAGGCCGTCGCCATCTTCGCAACCTTTCACCCCCGCCAAACCGGCGAGGCCGTAGTCAAGAAGGTTCGGCGCTGCGCGGCGCTCCCCGGGCGGCTCCCGCTCGCACCACAGCGGCCCCTGGCGGCCCGGAGCCGCATGGCAGCCCGCGGGAACGCGCCTGCGCACTACGCCCCCGTGCGGCCGAGGCCGGAAGCTAGGAGGCGGTGGGGGACCTTGCTTGTCAGAGCCAGTGGGCACCATGAGGCTGTTATCCTCGGGTTCTGGGTGGCTCCGCACCAGGGATGCCTCGAGCTCCCTCCCTTGGTTTGGTGTTTGTTGCCAGGCCACCCAGAGCCCAGGCATTCATCTCACCTGGCTCACCCCCATGGAAGCTGCTCATGGACCCACCTGCTGACTTATGTGTGCTCAAGATACCTAAAATGATTGCCTACACCATTCTTGGTTCACAGAAGCCTTCCTTCCTGTTCAGAGAATAGGTCGCCTCCGTAGCCTTTTTTTTTCCTTCTTCTTTTTTTTTTTAATGCGTTGCCCTAAATTTAGGAGCACCTGACCATTTTTTTTTCTGCTGTGTAAATGAGGAGGCAATATCCATTTGGTTCTTAATTGTGTCTGGCATGCATATATACCTGGGGTTCCTACCTCAGAGCCACTCTGCTGTAAATTTCTCCCGTATAATTTAGCAGTGGAGTCTAATTGATTTCAACCCGGTGCCTGCTGTTTGGTGCATTATTAAAAACGTCTTGGTTACAATAATCTAAATAATTTAAATGTCTTTGAAATGATGTTATCAAGTGGTGGGCAACGGCTTAGGCTCTCCCACCTGTTGGTTCTCATGACCTGTCTTTTCTCAGGGTCTTTGTGGTTCCTCTCCACAGCCATCCGTTTGCCCTTCATAAGCTGGTATCCTGGGAAACCCTAGCACCTGTCTGTAGATAGGAGAGATTGGTTTCTTCCTCTTCCTAATTTTTGGCCAGATGTGCACCATCTGGGCCTGTGTAGCGTCCCTTCCGAGTTGCCCGTTTCTCTTAGGATCTTCTGGCTGGAGACGTCTAGGTGTACAGAGTCAGCCTACAGTAGGCTGTCGGCCCAGGTTGTAAATTAATAGCCCAAAGAAAGAAAAAAAAGGCTTAGGAGGCATCTACAGCCATGATCCATCAGCTCTTCCTGCAGTTTTTATAGGCTTTTCTTTTCTTTTTTCTTCCTTTGCAGAGCTGTGATTAGGGCTAAACCACCTGCTGACATTTTTCTGGTCTTTGAGAATTTCATACAGAGGCTGGGGTAAAAACTACAATGTCGAGATGTTTCCTTTTTCCTGCTTTTGTAGATGTTAACTGGGCTGTGGAGCTCACTTGGGCAAAGGAATTCTTTACCTCCCTCCCCTGCTTTGGAAAACACAGCTTCTAGGAGTTACATAAATGGAACCTAACATATGTTTCACTACGCCCAGGTCTGTGTTTCTATGATTGAGAATGACCTGGTTTTTATCACCACTCAAACAAAATAAATAATGACTCAGGGATGCTCTGGGCCTCTCCTCTCTGGGGCCCACAATATTTTGTATTGTGGTTCCTTGGAAGGTGGCTGTGATAAATGGAGAGCTAACTGCCATACACCACAGGCACAGGGAATGTATTTATTCCAGGGTCAGCTGTTCTCCTTTCTCCCCTCCAAAAACCCTGGTGTTCTATGGGAAAAATAATGGAAACTGAGGGCTGTACAAATTTATAAGTTAAAAAACACACATCCAACACACTACTGGAGCCAAAGTAACTTCCAAAAAGCCACTGTCATTCAGGGCCTTGTACTTTCTAAAGCAACCTATAATTTAGGAGCAAGCAAAATCCAGTATACTTATGTAATACATTTTTGTAAGTATAAATACATACATGATGTATTTTTAAAGGTTTATTTTATGTGTGTGAGGTTTTTTTCCCCCGTACATGAATGTATGTGTACCAGTTCCATGCTTTGTGCTTGAGGATGTCAGAGGACGGTGTCAGATCCCCCAGAACTGGAGTTATTATAGAGGGTTGTGAGCCGTCATGTGGATGCTGGGAATCAACCTGGGTCCTCTTCGAGAGTAGCCAGTGCTCTTAACCACTGAGCCAGCCCTCCGGCACCTTGTTTTTGTAACTATGGATACATGTGTCTGTTTTAAGCACACATAAAGCTATTCTGAGTTCATCTGTAGAACATGCACATGGAATGGTTGTTAAATGCTTTCATTTTTATTATTTGTTTTTATTTTTGTGTTCTAGGTGTTTTTTTTTTTTTTTTTTGACAGGGGCTCATAGAAACCAGGCTGGACTTGAATTTGTTACGTAGCAGAGGATGACCCTCCCACACTAACCTCCCTCATGCTGGGACTCCATTGTGACCACCATACCTGGGCTCCCATTTTCAAATAGTCAAGCTAAGGACACTCATCTCCAGGGTCACACATTCACAGGACACTGACCCTAAAATGTGTGGCTCTCACTTAGCCACTCTATGTGGACACTCAGCAATATGGCTCATTGAGTGAAGGAGCTTGCTGCCAAGTCTGGTGATCTGAGTTCGATCCTCAGAACCCACAAGGTGAAGAGAGAGTCCTATAAGTTGTTGTTTGAAGGCACGCATGGACACACACACACATACACACACACACACCGGTGTAGCGCCTGTCAAGTATTGATATCACATGGGGTATATTCTGAATAATTGTTTATCTGAAATTCAAATTCAGTGGGGTACTACAGTTTGGATTACAAAGTGTCCCCAAGAGTTCATGTGTTACAGGCTTGTTCCCACTGTGTTGTAATTGGGAATCACTGGGAACATTCAGAGGCAGAGCCTGGTGGGCAGCAGGCACAGGTCTTGGTATGCCCTCAAGAGGGATTACTGGACTGTGCTGACCACTCTTATGTCAATTTGACACGTTAGACTCACCTGAAAGGAGGAACCTCAATTAAGAAAATGCTTCTATAAGATGTGGTCATAAGGCGTTTTCTCAATTAGTAATTGATGGGGGAGGGCCCAGCCCATGGTAGGTGGTGCCATCCCTGGGCTGGTGGTCCTGGCGTCTGTAAGAAAGCAGGTTGAGCAAGCCAGTAAGCAGCACCCTCCATGTGCTCTGCATCAGCTCCTGCCTCCAGGTCCCCGCCCTGCTTGAGTTCCTGTCCTGACTTCCTTCAGTGATGGACTACAATGTGGAAGGGTAAGCCAAGGAAGCCCTTTCCTTCCTAGCTTGCTCTTGATCGTGGTGTTTTATTGTAGTAATAGAAACCCTAAGACAGGAACCCCAGTCTCCTCTTCTGTGAGGTCAGTGGGCTTTTTCTGACTCATTCTTCTGCCATGATATGTGACAGGCCCCAAAATATCAAGGCCAATTAGTCATGGATGGAAACTTCCAGAACTCAGCCAAAATACCCTTCCCCCTCTGTGCTTGTGGCCTTGGGTGTATGTCACACAGCAGGAGGCTGACCGACAGACAGGCGTTGTGTGATTCATTTGCAGCCCTCCACCAGAGGCTCTCTTGTCCTTCCCCACTCTCTTTAGTAACAGTCCCGAGAGGAGAGACAAGCAGCCTGCCTGGCCTGCCCTTTCTGTAACTGGACTAAATCCTTCTTCTCTGTCTATAACTCAGGAGGAGGAATTACCTATAATCTTTTTATTATTCCTCTGTCATCGAGTCTGGGCTGGGATTTAGTGCGCGCTTGCCATTCACGGCCCATTCTTCCTGTCCCACACAGCACTGATAACCCTGTTAACCGAGAGATAGGGGAAAAGCCTTAGCTACAGCAGAGAAGAGGGAATTTGCAGGCACTCAAGAATTAAATTTTCTTGATGTTATCCGCTCTCTGAGCATTCAGTGACTTGTCACTGACATCTTTAGCCACAGTGATAATTGCAGCGGGGTCACCCAGAGGAAGAGTTGCACCTGTCTCTGCCAGCCACACAGAGAGGCTGAGCCACACTGGTTGAGAGCTTACCCTCAGTGGCAGCTTCAGTGGCTATGGAGACATGGAATCAAGGCAGGGATATGCTAGACACTTCCAGAGTGACCGGCTTTGTCCTTTGCCATCCCAGGAAGTACACACACTCCAGATCTCTAGTTCAGAGCCTCTGCCCTTGGGGCTCAGTATGTTACCTGCACTATCATTCCTCTGGTGTGTTCAGGGAATCTCCTTCTGCCACGTGGGTCCCAAGGACTGAACTTGGGTCCTTAGACACAGGGGCAGATGCCTTTACCCACTGAGTCATCTCACCAGCCCCAGTCTGCCACAGGCTTTCTTGGACTGCCAGCCTCCAAATCATGACACGGAGACTTATCATTAATTATGACTGCCTGGCTAGTTCAGTCAGTTGAGCTGAGTCTCATAGTCTCATGGTTGGGCTCTGGTCCCATTGGGTGCCACTTGTAGCTGGAACTTTATTTGGGAGCTGGTTGATGGCCCCAAGAAAATTCCAACTACACCTGTCTCTACCTGTTGATCTATCCCAGCCTGTCAGCTCCCTTGGGAAGACCCAGGTGAGCCCCTTTCCAATGTGCCTTTTTGGACAGTCAGTGATCCAGCACCTTCACCTCTGGTCCTGTCCACCACATCTGTACCCACACATTCATTCTGTCCCTGTCGTCTCCCTCTCACCCATCCCAGGCTGTCAGGAGTAGCTACAGAATCTTGGCAAGTTGAAGTTCATACTAGCTGACTTCTGCTGGACTGACGATGACCTGACAACACTTTTATGTACACTTCTTTTTTAAACCCAGAGTTCTCCCACAGTGTCTGCCCCACTTATCTTTAAGTTTGAAGTACAGAATGAACATCGGAGTTTCAGCAACTCACAGAGGGTTTCAGCAACGCACAGAGGTTTCTGTGCCTGTGAGTGTTACTATGTGTGTGTGTGTGTGTGTGTGTGTGTGTGTGTACATACAGACAAACAAGTCAGTTAATACGCAAGGTGATTTGTGGTAGTAAGGGCTCTATGCAAAAGACTACGGGATGAGGTGAGGCAGATCATCTCAGGTCAGGGAGAAGCTGTCTGAAGAGGGAATTTTCAATTGCCAACTTTGCAAGACCTGAAGAAAGAATGTAGATGAAATTCTAAACGGTCTTAGTA